TCTAGTTGCTTAACCTCACCTTCACCTAATTTATCTCTTGGCCACTCCAAGGATTCCCTGGAATGAGGAGAATTGGGTGAAACCAGACAATATTGGAACTTTGCCAAGGGGAAACAAAGAGAACAAGCGGGGAGGGATGTAGGATTAGACTAGCTCACATGCAGCAGCGCAGCACCCTGGATTTGCACCAAAGTCTGCCCTGGCCTGCTTAGCTCACTGGGAGCAGAATGGGAGCAGGACAAATTTTCTTCTCTTAAGGTGGGGCTGCAGGATAACCAAGGAATTTGCCTCATTTGCAGACAATCGCAATGTCTGACCAACTGTTTTGTCCCTCGGAAGCATCAGTCACGCTACAGCCGGGCAACAGCTTGGTTCCTGATGTCCAAGAAGCACGGACAATCCATACGGCAGTGTGGAGGGAGGTGATGGGGGGGGACCCAGGAGGTTTCATGCTGCATAAGGAATCAAAGGTGACTTGTTTCTCCCATTGGTCCTTGAGGAGTGTCCTGAAAGCAAAGCATCTGAGTCAACTCAAAACAAAATTTTTTGGCTGGGTTAGCAGAACAGAAAACAAACTTTCCACTGGGGCTGAACAAAGTGTTGGTACAATGAGAGATCAAGTGTTTCGTTTAGATTTGGGGGTTTTGAGCCCTTTTCTGAATTGAGGGCTTCTTCCTAAATATCACTTATTGGAAAAAAGGTCAAAACAAAGCAGGACTTTTATAAATTCAGAAATATGTTTAGGGGGTCAAAATGCCAACCAAATGTGAGCGCAATTTACATTTTTTTTCCTGGGCCCTTCCCCTCCTCCCATGAAACTGCATTAACCAGCAAGTAAATGATTGCCCAAAGAGCACCTAGCCACTGCTGTTTGAAAGAGGAAAAGTCAGTGTCCTTGAGGAGCAGTTCAGAGAGCACAAGTGTTGCAGTGTGTGGTGCAAGCAGAGGACAGCGTGAAAAGTGTAAGCAGTTCAGGTTGACACACCAGAAAAGCAAGAAGGTCACCAGGGCTCAGTATCTTCGATGGCAGCCTGAGAGATGGTTTGGTTTCAAGAACGAATACACTGGAGCAGGCGGGACAGGACCAGGAGCTTTAGTAGACAGAGGGGAGGAGGAGAGAGATCTCACACTCAGTGATCTGAGCTGGCTCCCGCATTCCCAGGCAGTAATTCCCAGAACTGGGACATAGGGTTGCAGAAAGAGCAGCTCTCAGGGACTCTTTGCTGGGAAATTCCCCTGTGCCCTGAATCTGTTTTCTGTTCCCAGGCAGTTCTTGATAAGGCAGGTTTTGGTTACACTCCGCTAAGTGTCCTCCGCAGCTGCTGGGACAGGGCACAGGCTGCAAGATGCTGGACAGATGCCAGCTGCAGAAGCACAAATGGTTTAGCTCTTCTTGAGAGCTGGTACACTTGAGGGATTTATTGACAGCGAGCAGGGACAAGAGTGCTATTTCAGCCAGGACAGAGCTCCCCAGGGCAGCTGAAGAACCTGTGGCTGGGCCTCCCAGAAGTGGCTGTCTCCAAACCCCATTGAGAGCCACCAGGTTGGACTGAGCCCCATGCAGACCTTTTTGGTGCAGTGCTGCTGCATAGAGGAGGCTGCTCCTGGAGCTCCTCCATGGCTCCTGGCTGGTGTGACCTAGCACCAGTGGAAGGAGCAGCATTATCTTGTATTGGAAAGACCAACAAGTGCCTTCAGAGGTGTGTGGATGATGACACCTGCCTGAGCTTTGCTTCCTTCTAGCTGTCGAGCTTACCTGCCTCTATCGCTCAGCAGGTCTTTGGCTGGGACTGAGTGCTCTGCTGATGTTCACCCCAGCATGAAATGGGACTGGGGCTGCAGCTCTGTCTCCAGCCATGACAAAGACAGGACACAGGTGGGGTTTTACTCCTCTCTTATTCAAACACCAAGAGGGAAGAGGGCAAGTATACCCAGAGGGATCTCACAAGAATGACTTGAATGATGTGATTTTGATTGTGATATGTTGTTTACCTGGGGAGGATCAGAAATCAGCACATCAAGAAAGTCAGTGTACGAAGGAGTAGAGTCAGGACATGGTCTTCTCCCTTTGTTTCTTCCACTCATTTCCACTGAGGAGTAACCTGCAGTGATGCAACGAGAGCTCATTTTTTTTAAGTCAGCACCTCTGGCAGTTATTTACACCATAACAACGCGTGCAAGGGCACCAATCTAATTTGCAGTATTTTACACCTGACTTGCAGGGTGTGGAGCACAAGAAATAACCAGGTCCAGCAAAAGGGTGGCAGAATGGGACTGGACTGCAATGTCTTCATTCATGGTCGTTCGCTGAGGCTGGCCCTTTGTACTGACCCCACAACTACGCACCTGTAAGATCTAACAGTCTATAGATCCCTTAGAAACATAGCTCAGTTCCTCCTCTCACACCAAGGCTTCCTGAAGTGTCAATGTCCTTCAGAACACAGACACCCCACCACCCTTTTAGCCAGGGAGACTTTGTGTCCTTCCCTTGCTCTTGGAGCCAGGTTTCTCCTACGCACTTGAGTGGATCAGTCTCTATTTCTAGCCCATTAAATCTGTTTGCGTTTGCAGTCTCTAATAAATCCAAACCGCCACTTTATTGCCTGCTTGTCTTTGTTGCTTTATAAATACGCCTGGCTGCTGAGGGCTCTAGTTTAAGCTGGGGCATTCGAGCTCAGGAGAAAAGGGTAGTGTTGGTTTCTGGGCAGCTCCGGTCTGAAGGGTTTCCTCCTCCCTCTCACATCTCCTGTTTTCTCAGTGTGACCCATCAACATTTGGGTCTCAGTTAGACTGCTAAATACCCACAGGATAAGATGAGCTCCCAGACCTGCAAGTGGGCCATGTCTAGTGGGCAAGTTAGCTGAAGAAAACATTTTTTTTCCTGTCCCCACCCTGAGGTCAGTCCCGTGTGCACCCATCCCAACCCTACCCGTTTCCATCCAGCCCTGATTGCAGAAGCTCTACCCTCTCCTTTGATATCCACCTCATTCCCTCCTCACATCACCCCGGAGTCTCCATTCGCCCAGCTTTTGGCTGGCCCCACGCACGCCATCTCCTGAGTGTTTTGTTCTTCCAGCTCCAGCCCACGTTGCCCCTGCCCTGACTTTCTGGCTCACACAGCCCCTCAATAACAGACTGCTGGCGTGGGAAGCCTCTCTCCTCACAAACCAGCTGCTCTCAGAACCAGGATCCTGAGCTAGACAGACGATTCTGCAGCATCCTTGGGGCAGCTCCAGGTTAAACTGGATGGAAGCTGCTGAGGACCCATTTTTGGACCAGTATTGACCTCTAGTGGCAAGCAAGACCTAGAGTCACGTGCAGTCAGCTTATCTCAGCATCCTGCTCCAGTTGCAGAGCACAGTCGGCTTGAGCTCAGCGTGGCCAGCACAAGCCCAGGACCATGGATCCCTCTCAAACCCCACAGTCCATCCACGCAGGGCCACTCCAGGCCTCCTCTCTGCCCTGTGCTTTAACCTGCCTGTGGAGGAAGGGAACTGGCTCAGCCATATAGTGATTTTTGGTTCATAACTCCTAGGGCTGAGGCTGTTGGTCACTATGAATTGCATCATCAGGGAGACAGGGACTGTTCGCAGCCACTCAGGGGTGTCTACAGGAATATAGACCCATCTAAACAAAACCAGGAGAAGCTGCTTCTCGTCTATGCAAAGAAACCCCAAATCCTGTTGGCTGAAGAAGCATACTGACATGACTGATACGTACAAAGAGCAGCAAGCACAATGCAAATGACTCTGCAATCAGATAAGCCCTGGCTTAAGGAACTATTCTTAAAACAAGCAGCAGCCACAAGCTTCCAAAACAACCTGAAAATAAAAGAGATAATTACCAAGAGACATTTAAGAAGACTTCATATAGTAATGTCACCTGCTGGGGAGGTGGCACCACCTCTCCCCAAACTTTTATTCCAGGAAGGGCATTTTAATATCTCATTGGGGCAGCTTTAACATGTTTTACTTGCTTTTATTTTTTAGAAACGGTCATTGTCTCTGTCGTGAGGTAGTTGTGCCTGTCTTTGCATCCCTGCCTTGGTATCATTAGAACAGACTCAGAGCAGCTGAGGGACACGGGGGCCAAGAGCCCCCTGCGCTGCAGGGCCCAAGGGAATCTTGGTGGTGCCCAATGCCCCTCGGAGGGGGCTGGAGGAGAACCTGCTATGGGCTGTCACGGAACAGGGATGGCAGCTCCTGTCTGAGGCAGGTGCCAGTTCAGAGGGGGGTTCATTGGAATAAGAATTCCCATGAGCTCTCGGTGCTCTCCTGGACCTGCCCCTGCACGCGGAGGCCCCAACTACCACATAAGGTCACCACGATGACGTCAGCGCGACGTCACGCCTTTAAAGCTCCCCAAGAGCAAGGCAAGGAAATGACATCACTACTCCGTTCCCCTCTTCCGCTTTTGAATTTTAAATTCGCAGCGAAGGCCAATCGCGCGCGTCATGGCCGTTCGCCAATGGCAGCACGCGCTGCCCTCCCGCGGGCGGCCGGCCAATCAGCGAAGAGCTCCGCCCCGCTCTTTTGCCCGGGCGGCACGGAGGACCAATAGGGGAGCGGCGCCGGAGGGCGCGGTCCGCGAGGCGGC